CCAGGGAGTGGGAGCATTGTGCTCCCCTGAACTGAGCTGAGCTTCCCCAGGAAAGGGTTCCACCTTCACCCACCATCATTCTGGGGTCCACAGGCTCCGCTTTCTGCAGAGTTCTCATTTGTGATGTCCCCTGTGCTGTCAGATGCTGAGTCCCCAGCTGCCATTCTCGGGGGTTCCCAGAGAAGCCCTGGCCTGGCTCTCATTCCTTTGTGGTCTCATCACTTTGGGCACCTGTGAATCATACTGCTTCCCTTGAGGTGAGGAATGTGCAAAGAGGGGTCTGGTGGCAGACTTCAGTTGCACTTTGAGAAGCTTTCTGCTGGCTTATTGGTATGCCGCTTTGTCAGACAGGAAGAGAGCCCAAAGGCTTGGGTGGGTGGACGTTGGGGCATCTGCCTGGGCAAGCCGCAAAGTCACCCAGGAGTGGAGAGAAGATAAGCAGGGAAGGAAAGGCCCAAACTGGAGTAAATTCTAGGTTTCCTGGTTCCCAGTCTGAACCACTTCTCACCAAACACAAACGCATGCACCTAGCCCATTGCCAACCCACATCAGGACCATGGCATCTGGTGTCTGCTGCTTGTGCTGAGCACTGCATGAAAGGCGGAGGGCAGCAGCATTTATGCTCCAGGGAGCTTAAAGCCTGAATCAAGGAAGCACTCTGCTCTGTGTGTAAGTGCTTGGTAACTAAGCTGCACCTGGTGCTCAAGACAGTCTTGGGACTGTTTGACCCTCAGTGTTGGAGAACTGCAAGCAGATGACACAGTTCAGGGTGGCACTTGGGAACACCAGATGCAGCATGCTGGCTGACAATAAACACCCCCTGCTCTGTTGATCGTGGAGAACCCTGAGTGCCGATGGTGGGGTGGGGGGACAGAGAGTGGAGCACACTTGCCTGGATGCAGACGGAGAACATGAGGCCAGCTCGCTCGCTCTGTTCAGAAATGGCTTCTGCCTGGGGCTTTTCCCCCAAAGATCAAAGTATATGTGGTAGTGATGAGAGAGGCCGGGTAGCCAGGAGGGAGAAGAGGGGTCAGTTATATCTGCAATCTCCAAGACTTTGGGTCAGGACTTCCCTTCGTGTCTTTGGAATTTACTCCATCCCTGTTCAGTACGCACCTTGTTTAAAGGGAAACAAGCAAATTCTCTTTGATTCAAAAGGTTCTTAAGAGTGCTGATGTCATGGGGAGAGGCCTTTTCCACCACTGACCACATTGGTTAGGCAGCCTGGGGTTCTGAGAACATTCTCAAGTTTTGGTCAAATTAAAGTCAGTTTGCCAGAACATAGCCACAATTCTGTCATCAAGGTGCCAAGCTCCTTGAAGACATCTCTGTCTATGGTGGCTCATGTCCACAGATGGTGATGTCAGTCCTGGGTTTAGGAAGAACCTGTGCTGAATACTGGTTTCACAGAGTGGAGGAGAGGGTGGCAAGCTTTGAGCTAACCCCAGTGTAAGTGACGGTGGTAGCCATCTTCCAGTCCTTCCATTGTGATTTGGCTGGAAAGCCACAACCTCTCGACACCCTAAACAGACCTGGTCATGTGTAGAAGGTACAGACCTCCCAACCCAGAGTAGTCTCTGATGCTTTCCAGATATTGGATCTGTGGCCATCTCCTTCCCAACAGCATAGGCCAGTACAACAGCTCCCTCCTGCTTGAGACACCAGCTGCTAGGACACAGCAATACGATGGCTCTGTGGTCCCAGAAGAGGCAGGTCCCACATGCAGAAGAGTGGGACAGCTGGGACAGCAGCAGCTGGCCAGACACGGCTCTTTGATTTGGCAGTGTGTCGGCTGCCACACCCATTCACTCCAGTGCCTGCTACACAGAGGAAGACTCATAAATGTTCTCACCAGCTGCTGAATGTTTTATCAAAAACCAAGTCGAAGCAACTTATTTACCAGAATGGACTTATATATGCACAGACATTCAAAAGACCCACTTGTATTGGAGACATCAGCATCAGGAAAACACCAGCCTCTCACAGAAAGGACTTTTGCATGTACCAAGCAAGAGAGACAGACCTTCACACTAAAAACCTATACCTCTATTACCAGAATGTTTGGGGTGGCTGGATCCTCGAGATGGATCACAGTGGACCACCACACTCTTCTGTTACACAATTTACTGTAAGAACTCACTATAAGAGGCATTACATTTGGATAAAATATGTTTTTAAATATAGGCTTGAGAGCAGTTGGAATAGTTGAAAATTGACATTCTAAAGCTGTGTTTTATCAGAAACAAGTTAAGTTTTCTGCGGAGGAAATTAGCAGAAATAGAAAACCTTCCTGCCTGGTCCCTTATGAAGAGGATGCTTTCATTCACATAGGGTCACACACATTCACCCGGAAGACAGAAGGGAGACGTGAGAGCTTGAGCTCACAGTGCATCTCCTGCAGATGTCTGCAGGACACAGCATCTGCTGGCGTAGCTTTAGGAAAACTCCTAGAGACACAGTGGATGGCAGCACACGCCTGGGCCGTGATTGCTGCCAACACTGCCGAACCTGCATTTGATGCTTGGCTAATCTATCGACTCCATGGCCACATTAATGCAGAGCATCTGCTCCCAGACTGCAGCTGAGGGGAGTTTCCCCTTCTCTCAAGCATCTCTGAACGCCTCTGAGAACAACTCAAGTGGTCGTGGGTTAAGACTCATCCAACCAGGGCAATAAAGAGAAAAATTAGTCTAATGCATGGTCTTAACAAGAGGGAGTGTGAGCATGAATAATTGATATCACTAGTCTGTGGCAATCAGATAAAATGAAGTCCCATTTGCTCAACCTTATTAAAAGAGAGAGAGTGTGGGAGGGAGGGAGCCATGGTAAAGGTCGTTAAGGGACTTGTATCGTGGAAGACCTGCCTTGGAGATGGTAATGTGTTTTCCAATCTCTGTGGTCTTTAACTAAACGCAATGGTAAAGGTTCTCTTTGGATGGTTCTGATCCGTTGAATTATTGAACATTTTAGAAATACTTGACTGCTGACTTAGATGTCTTTATGATGAACTTGCAGAGTCTTTTTGGCGGGGATTATCTCCCTGTATCACTCAGAGATGATTCATCCACTTGTCAAAAAGGAAATAGAAAAAAGTGGAGGCTGCTGCTGGCTTCTGTGAGCCTCAGTTCTTGCGCTTTACCTGTCTGCTGCTGAAGGCCTACCTTCCTTCCACACTGATGTACTGTAAAAACAAAAAGGTCACTCCAAAATATTGAAATCTCTGTGATGATAATTAGGTCCAAAATGGTTACTTTTAAATTTTTAATAAATCTTCTTAAATTGCTACACAGTAACTGTACTTGTCCAGTGGGTGCCGTGGCATTTCTGTGCATGTACAGAACAGGACCTGCGCCTGGAGTGTCTTACCTCAGAACTGCTGCTTCATGCTGGGAACATTTTCAGAACACACCATCAGGTTGCTGGCTTTCAGCTTTCCTCCTCCCAGAAACCACCTGTGATAATGTCCACTCAGCTGCTGAAGATGGATTTGATCATGTCTGTATTGAAAACAGCACCATTTTAGGGCTTGTTTTCGTTTGTTTTTTGGTTTGTTTGTTTGTTTGTTTGTTTAATTGTTGAAAACTTTCTGTCAGGCCATAGCACACACCTTTAATCCCAGCACTCATGGAGGCAAAGGCAGATGGATACACTCTGAGTTGGAAGCCAGCCAGGGCTATACAGTGAGACCCTGCTTTTATGATGAATGATTGAATGAATGAATGAGTCAATGAATGAGCAAGTGAGTGAGCAAGCAGATCTAACTTTCTGTAAGGAACTTTTGTGTTTTGTTGCATCTTGGCTTGTACATTAGGCATTGAGAAGGCGTTGTAGATTCTGCCACTGTCTTTTGGCAGTAGTTAATTCCCCTGACCATGGTGTTAGACTCCCGTGGATTCTTGAAGATTCACATGTTAGAAATGTATGCCACCATGAGATTGATGGTTCTCACTGTGGAGATGATTTAATTTGTTAGGTGTTTCTCAGGACTGACATAAGAATCACCACTCATAAGTGTTAAGTGTCTGGGTTAATCAGAAGAGTTCTCATGGTCTCTATGGAAATGCCAGAGTCACTCTGCAAACCCAGAGTACTCACCACGCACACGTTCAGCGGAAGTCAGTGGAAGTGTAGTGGGAAGGCCTTTGCACTGTGAATTTGGACCAGGATTATGTACTGTTTACCAAATGACACCCAGTTGAGCTAGTAATAGCTTTTATTTAAAAGCTGACTACACATACACCTTCAATCCCAGTGCTCAGGAGGCAGTGGCAGGTGGATCACCAAGTTCAAGGCTAGCCTGGTCTACAGAACAAGTAGACAGCTAGGGCTACACAGAGAAACTTCGTCTCAAAAACACAAACAACAAATACCAAAACAGCAACAACAAAAGATGACCCCAGGAGAATAAAGGTGATCCATCCTTTATTCCCCTGTGCTGAAGAAGAGGCACACACACCCTCAATGAGAGTATATAGCCTGCAGGCATCTGCCCTCTGGCCTTCACACCCAGAACAAAGTTTCCAAACCCGGAGTGGAGAGCGGGGAGAGAGGTGCTGTTGGACTGGAGCTCAGTGGTGGCACCATGGTGGTGTATGTTTACAGTGCCGCTTCCCTCAGTTGCTGTAAGCTCTTCAGCTAACCCCAGCACACCTAACCCCTGTAACCTGTAGCTTTCATTCCTTAAACACAAAACAGAGAAAAGAGGTTCAGTTTAGCCTTGGAGAGAACAGGCTGCCTGACCTGCTGCTCATCATTCGTCTCTGCTCTCCTGCTTTTGCTTATACTTTGGTGAAGGAACTCTGGTTTTCCCCCTCTTGGTCTTTTGTCACTTGAGTAGCCAATATCCCTCTACTCTCAGTGGCCTAGAAGTGCCTAAGCCACTGAGTAGCAGAGCGTCCTCTGGGGACAGAATGAAATGCTCACTCAAGGTTGGCACAGTGCAAACTGTATGACATCCCCTGATGCCTAGGACTGACAGTCTGTGCTTTCTTCCCACTCAGATCCTGGTGTATAGCCTGGAAGCAGAACGCTGCCTCTCGAAGGTAGGCAACGCGCTTGGAGACTTCACTTGTGTCAACCTCCGAGACAGCCCTCCCAACCTAATGGTCAGCGGCAACATGGACAGAAGGTAGGTCAAGATGATAGCTGAAGGGGCTGAGAGTGCCCCACTCTTCAGCTTTGTCCCCAGCCCCGCACCCAGCCCCTGGACTTGGAACAGTCTTATATTAGGTATAGTTTGACCTGCTATGCCTGTGCTTCGCCTCTGAAGCAGCACAGGACAATTCTCCTTTAAGGCAGTTGGTGGACGGTCTAGTGAGACCACTTGGAATATCTTTTGTCCCCCTGCTGCAGAATTAGTTTGGCACCGAAAAGCTCGCTTTCCAATATTAAAAACAATAACCTAAGGGACAGGCCGTGTTCAGCACAATAGGGATGTCTGCCAAGTGATGCCAAGAGTGTATTTCAGAGCTCTGTGTGTCCCTCTGCTGACAGGAAAGAGACTTGATGGGAACAGATTCCACTTTCTATTTAGCTGATTAGCGGCCTTCTCTTTAACACGTTGGCTGAGGGAGTCAGTTTTCCTGGTACAGGGGCCAGTGCCAGCGTTCCACACTGTAGGATTAAAGTGTTTGAAAAGACCCTTCCCATCCAAATTTTAGTTTTTCCTCTTGTCTTGTCTTTTCCTTTGCTTTTTTTCTGTTTTTTGGCTAGTTACCTGCTATGTCTGATCCAGTGCCCCAGAGAGAGGTAGACTGGATGGGGTGCCAAGGCTGCTGGCACCCCTCCTCTGGGCCCAGCCCGGGGCTGCAGGTGCCGGGCTGCCCGGCTGTGAGTATCAGCTCTGAGGCGGGTGTTTCTTTGTGCCAAATCCCAGAGCTCTGTCCCAGAAGAGTAGCAGCTTACAGAAATCACTATTGAATCACATAGTGTTTCCAACCCCTGAGCCTCACCCACTAGCCCCACCCCACCTAGAGCAAAGAGAGCCTGAGCAAGCTTTGTGGGGAGAAGGCAGTCAGTCCATCTCACAGGGGCTTCTCAGTGACTCAAAATGTGGGGCTTGTAAATGGAGCTCTGAGTTCAGTGTGCCAAGGCTTGGGGGCTGGAGAGACAGCTTGGTCAGTAAATGACTACTGGGCAAACATGACCTGAATTTGGATCCCAGAATACATATTAGGAAAAACAACAACAACAACAAAAAAAAAAACAGGCAGGCTGAGCATGGTGGTTCACACCTTTAATCTCAGCACTTGGGAGGCCGAGGCAGGCAGATTTTTGTGAGTTCAGAGCCAGCCTGATCTAAATTGTGAGGGCTAGGCTGGCAAAGGCTACAGACCCTGTCTAAAACCAAACAATGACAACTGAAAAAGGCATGGTCACACTCATCTGTAGCCCTAGGGCAAGGGGCACAGGCAGGACTGGCCTCAGAGAGCGGTGGCCAGCAGGTCAGAGAGCTCTGCGTCCATGAGAAACCTTTCTCAAAAGATAAGGTAAAGGATAACTGATCATAGGGATGCTGACCTCTGTGACTTCCACATGGCCTTTTCACAGGTGCACACATTCCACACATGTACATGCATACACACACACCCCAACAACTGCCACCACCACCTAGGCTTGGAAAGTAGCCTCAGTGTGTGACTAGGGAAACAGATCACTCCCTGTGAGCTGAGTGTCTCCACTCTTTCTGAGTGGAGCAGATGCCAGGAGCCTTTGGGGAGCCCTGTATCTGAAGACCTTAGCCCAGACAGCTCTAGGATGGCACAGCCACTGTCAGCTGCCTCTCAAGCTGTCCTCCAGGACACGTACCTGTTCTCAATAAAGCTGCCCTTTTCTTCTGGAGTGTACCCACCTCATCACACACCATGACTAGATGAGGAACCACGTACCCAGTTCAGAAGGCCCTCTTGTCTGTGTGATACCCAAAATGGATTTTTAAGAAATCCCCCCCCCCTTTTTTTTTTTAAGAATGTAGTGGAATTGAGTTTTTTAAAGCAGGGAGGTCCCAGGTTCTCAGCACAGCACAGATGACAGGCAGGGACAGAGCTCTTCGGTGTTAGAGCCCTGGCTGCCCCCACCCTTTAGAATAAACCCAAACAGTAAACCCAGCATCCTGGCCTAGGCTTGCATCTCCAGTGATGGCTTACAGTTAGCCCTTGGAGGAAAAGCTAAGAGCTGCCTCCCCTAAGAGTCCAGACTCCTCTAGCCTTCCCTTGTCCAGGCATGTAGTTACTATGGAAGAACTGAAAGCATTTTTAAGCCAGTATGGGTAAGTTTTCTTACTTATGTAGGCTAGCCTCTGCTAGGGCAGCCATGCCCAATAGCTAGGAGTAGTTAATAGACCACTGTCCCCAACCCTAAATCATTATTCTGCTCTCTTCTCCTGAGTAAACAAAGGCTTTTTAAGGGCTTAAAAACCTCATTCAGTTCCAGAAAAGTGCCTAAAGCCTCCTGCCCCACCCTTCAGCTCTGTCGTGGGAACCCCTGTTCAGGGCAGGCCCGTAAGAAAACACTGGGGACATTGGGAAGCCTCCTGGTGCAGCCACTTCCCCAGGGAGCTTCGCAGCAGCCCATCAGCTTGACTGCCCTCTGCAGCTCTAGGTGCAGAGGGCTTTTGTATTTTATCTGTGGGTTTGCTGGTGGTCAGACTGAGGGCAGCACACTGAAACCAGAACCTCCGTGTTCTTGTCAGTGAGTGGAGGAAGCTTGTAGGTACTGGCAAGGGCTGTGTCTAGTAAGACCCCTCCCTGTGTGCCTCTTGGACTGCTTGTCTCTTGCCAGTGACACCCAGGTTCTGGAGTAGAACATGCTCAACTCTCCACCTGGGAGAGCCAGGGCCATAGTCAGTGCTGATGGCAGCTGTTGGATTGCTAAGGTACACTCCTTGGACCAACATTCTCACCATTCCCAGATTTAGTTTAGTGTGTGTGTGCGCGCACACACGTACACATCCATATGTGGGTGTATGTGGGTGAGTGAGTGCATACTATAGCACAGTGTGGAGATCAGAGGACAGCATTGTCTGTCAGTCCTTGCTGCCTCCATGTTGGCTATGCATGCAGACTGGCTGGTCCAGGAGCTTCTGGAGATATCAGGTGGAGACCTCATATCTCATCACAGGACCACTGGATTATAGACATGTGCTGCTGTGTCCAGCTTTACCTGGGTCTTGGGGGCCCAAACTCAGGTCCTTATTCTTGTCTGCCAAGCAAAAGCCATCTTCCCACTGCAAGTTCATTTTCAGAACCCCTTCCTTGAGGTAGAGTTCACATGCCATGTGACCTACCAACTAACTGCACAGTTTCAGGACAGTACCCAAGACAGATGCCCTGTATCATAAGTAGTCACTGCCATCTCCCCCAAGGTCTCCATTTCTGAGCAACCACCAACTGACTTTCCTTTGGTATGCATTTACCTGTGGACATTTGTGTAAATGGGTGACATGTGATCCCTTATGACTTATTTCTACTTAGTCTAATGTTTTCAGGGTACACCCATGTGGTAGCGTGTAGTAAAACATCACTCCCTTTTTATGGCCAAGTAATACCCATCATTGGACAGACATCTGTCCATCTAATACAACATCTAATCCAAGAATTACAACATCCGTCCGTCCATGTCTTTAAGCTAGTGGATGTCTTTAAGCTAGTGGTTTAATTCATCAAATTCCTTAATAGTTTTGACCGTTGTCGTCATTCGTGTGTCATTTTTTTGTGCATCTTCAATTCTCTTAAGTGTAGACACCTGGGAGTTGAGTTGCTGGCTTCAGTGGTAAGCCACGCTCTGCCTGCCCTGGCCCTGAAGAATCTTCCAGTTCCTCCATGTCTTCAGCCATGTGCTGTCCTCGTTCTCTGTGGTTGGCAACTAGTGTGTGGTGTGTCCTTGTGCTTTGCATCGCCCTCGGGGCCCACCTCCTGTGTTTTTGACCCTCTGCATGTTCCATGAGATCTGTCTATCCAGATCCTGCTTTTAGGGTTGAGATGTGGTTCCACTGTGTACATGCCTAGCACGTCACGTGCTACCACACCCACTCCCAAGTCTTGCCTGTTTTTTGAGACAGGGTTTCTCTTTGTAGCCCTGGCTGTCCTGAAACTCACTCTGTAGACCAGGCTGGCCTCTAACTCACAGAACCGCCAGCCTCCACCTCCCAAGTACTGGTATTAAAGATGTGTGCCGCCGCCGCCGCCGCCACCACCACCACCACCCAGCTCCAAATCCTATTTTTAACTGAGGTTTTTATTGTTGAGTTGTGGCAGATCTTTCACTTCTGTGGGTGTCAATCTCTTGTCAGATGTGTCACTTGCAAGTATTTCCTCGTGTTAGCTGTGTTCTCACTTGTAGACAGTGTATAAGATAGGCTTTAAGTATGATGGAGTGTTATTTATCTAAATGTTGTTTTATTGCTTGTGCTATCACCTATTTATAAGAAACCACTTCCTAATTCAAGGTTATTGGTCTGTTTTCTTGAATTTTATAATTTAATCTCTTGATTTTGAAATGCATGGCCTGCTAGGCAATTTTGGGTATAGTGTAAGGTGGAGTCTGGCTTTGTATTTAGTCTTCTCAGCACTGTTGTTGACAAGATTGTCCTTTCCAACCTTGAAAATTAACTGACCATAAAAAATTGAGTGTTCCCAGTTCTGATCCTGCCCTGTTTATTAGTCTCACCAGCAGCTGGCTGGAACTTGCTGCATCTGTAGTTGAGGATGTACCAGATAGACAGAAGCCAGCCATGTTCAGCAGTCTCTGTGGGTGAAGGGAGGATGTTTGTGGAGGAGTTGGGTATGGTGCACCAAGTGGGAGGTTGAGGCACAAGTTTCAGGACAACTTGGGCTATATAATGAGGTTCTCTATAAAAAAGTAAATGGGCTGAAAGATGACTCAGCTATTAAAAGCATGTACTGCCCTTTTAGAGGACCTGAGTCTGATTCTAGGCAGCCACAGCAGGTGCTCGCGACTGCCTGCCACTGCAGCTCAGGGGGCCCGATGCCCTCTTCTGGCCTTTGTAGGCACCTGCAACTCAAATTGCACATACATCCACACAGACACACTATTAAAAATAGAATCTTAAAAAGAACAAGACAAAAATGTGCAGCATAGATATGTGAACTATCTGTAATATTTTTTAAATGTATTATGCATGCACGATGGTGGGGGTACACGTGCCATAGTATGCATAGAGGCCAGTTGTGGAGCTGGTTCTCTCCTTCCACCCCAAGCAGGGTTCTAGGGATGGAACGCAGGCTTGCTGCAAGGGTTCAGCTGCTGAGCCAGCATGCTGATCCTCACTCATACACTTAAAATGCAGAATGCTAGCTTAGAGCTTCCACATTTCCTACTTTGGCCCTCAGTGCTGTCCTAGGCTGTCCCAGGCTGGCTGTTTGTTCATGAGCTACAGTGCTCAGGATTTGGTAGATTCTCTGAGGAGTCAGCTTTGGGGATCACCCCAGAGGGGTTGATGCTTAGATTTCATGTAAAGACCTCCACCATAGTGGCACTGCTTAGCTAAAGCGTGCTAAGCTTGGCCAAGCTCAACGGAGCCAGGCAAGTCCACCTGAAAATGCAAGTGTTTCAGTTGCTCTGAAAATGAACATTCAAGTAAGACTGTTGGTGCTGTGTGGGTGAGGCTTGTGTGTAGTCTTCCTCCATAACTCAGGTACAGCGAGGTCAGGCAGAAGTGTGCACCAACCTTTTAAAAATACCAGTTTTCCTGACTTGTTTAGTCATAATTTTAAATTTCACACATTTACCTTTAGTTCCTGGATAGAAATGCAGCCAAGGGTGGGTTCTTCCTGAAGAACAGCCAACCCAGAGTCTGAACACTGCCAGCTTTGCCGCCACAGTCTGCCTTGTTATCATGCAGGACTGGTGAGTCCAAACCAATAGGAAGCACGCCCCAAAGTGTGACCCCCCAATTAAAGAATCTTCTCACTTCCTTCCTGCCCAGCATACAGAAAGTTGTGGTGTGCGCTCGTGTGTGCTGCCAGGGAGCGTGCAGGGCGCGAACATTACGCTAACTCCATCTGCAAGTGTTATAATGAGTTATTCAAAGCTCTTCGCACAGGACCAACCAGAGCGTGCCTCCCTCTCCGTTCCAGCGCGTTTTCCTGCCCATCAGATGGATGCTCCTCTGCTGGAGTCTTTGGAAGGTTCTGGTGTCTTTTGTTTTAATTGGCGAGCTAAAGCCACCTCCTATGGTGCGGTTTTCATTAGTGAGGGCTGCAGAGAGGGAGTGTTGGGGCCGTCCTCCAAGCCCATCCATGAATATTAAACATAAGACAATTATAGCTTTCAGACCAATTATTTTTCTTTCAGCAGGCGAAGTTGGTGATACTCACTAGATGAGGATTCGCAGTTTCTACCATTGGCCCCTCTTGTCCCTGGAATGGGTAGACCTGGCACGTGCTTGTGCCCAATGCTGGGCTACCTGTTTCCCAGTGTGGAGTGTTCGATTCAAGTGCTAAGGCTGCTGGGTCTGGCAGGGCATGCTGCATTTTGGGTTGGGACTGCACACTGTCAGATGTCCTGGGCCAATACCTGCTTCCTAATGTGAATTTGATGATTTGAGTGGACAAGGCATTGCAGTATGTGCAGTTTGGTCTGAGACAAGAAGCCAGATGTCTCTAAGATGGCAGAAAACTGTTCTATTGCTTGGGCTAGTTTCTGTTTCCCTAGCGAACCTGAGCTGCTGTGTCTCTGGTATTTGTTGTCTTGTTTGGCGCTATCATGCTGCTGTAAACACAGCAAAGAAACAGACGGCAAACTCTGAACTAATGGACCAAACGTGTTTGCCTGTGTGTCCATAACAGCTATGCTATAAACACTCACAGAGGGACTGTTGATAGACCTGACTAGCCAACATGTGTGGGGAAGCATCTACCCCCATCTGTTTCAGGGTCCCAGCCTGACACTCTTTCCTTGGGTGCCCAACAGCCTTGGGTCTCTCTGCCTGTAGAGGCTGAAGACAGGTGGTTGTGCATGCTTCCAGGAAAGCCTTCCCCACTGGAGCCTTGGAGTGAGTGTCACTCGTAGCCATAGACCTGAGACCCTGCATCACCATCTTGCCGTGTGGCCTCGATCCTGCACCCCAAGACTGCAATCATCTGTATTTGGTTGGCTTGTTGTTTGTTGATGGTGTTTTGTCTTTATGACAGGGTTTCTTACACCCTAGGCTGATCTCAAACTTGATTTTTGTAGCCTTGTAGTCAAGAGTTACCTTGAACTCTTGGTCCTCTTGCCTTCACCTCCCTGATGCTAGGATTCCAGACCTGTACCACCACATCCAACTTCTGTTGTTCCACATTATACCTACTTATCACTTGCTAAGAAACAAGTAAACCATCTGAAACAAATGAGGTGTGTGCATTCTTCTGCACCAGGGGGGAGCTGGCACCCTGTGCGGCCTGATCTGTAAACAGCATGATAGTAGTGTCTGGAATAAAGTAAAAACCTCCTTTGGAGCTCTGGTTGCATCTCCCCTCCCAAGGAACTGCTGCGTTTAACTTCTGAACTGTGCTTAGGGGACAGGTGGTCTGAACCCAAAAGCAAGTGCAGCAAGCCTCCATGCAGCCCCGTGACGGCTGCCTGTCTCCACACACAGCTGCTCATTGAAGGAGAACTGGTCCCTGGCCCCAGTCATGCTCACTGTCTCAGCTGAGCAGTTCTTGTCCGTCTGCACACAGTGTAGACACACAACACCTGTTCACGGTTCAGGCTCCTGGAGCAGGTAGAAATCTAAGTGTCTGCCCCAGACTCTACTGTTGGCATGTCCTGTGGTTGCCTGAAGTGGGGCACAGTTAGTTATGCCAGTCCCATCTAGTCATTCAAGCCCATGCCGTCTTCAATGCTGCCTCTAATTTCTCTGCCAGCCTAACTGGTGATTCTTTCCCCTCGGGCTGCTGAAGGCCTCCTTGTATGCTCCCACTTTTCAAAGTAACAGTCTGCAGCATGTACTTTTTATTCTGATTAGTGCTTACGAGCACTAAGCCAGAGACTTCCTTTCGGTGTGACTCTGCTGCCCTCGCTGCCTGGCATGCTGCAACAACCCCTTCTTGCCTTCTCACGAAGTTCATGGTCAGGGTCTGTGTCTTCATTCTGGAAGACAAACAGCTGTTTTCAAGCAGAAGTCATGCCTGGCCAGCCCTTGCCTGTTGCTCTTTGTAGGGGCAATGACCTTTTTCTTATCACTTAATCTATTTGGTTTTTCTGTCCTTTCCTAGAAAGTCACTTATTCATCTAAATTTGCAGTTTTGGAGATTAAAAAAAAAAAAATGAAGTCAAGCAGAAAACCTGGGTAAGTTATAGAGACCCAGGAAACCTGAAGAGGTGATAGAGACTCTATGGAAATAGAATTATAAAATCCATAAAATACTCTGTCTGTAAAAGAAAGTTAGGTCCCCATAGCTTTGAGAGTGAGTGAAGCATAATCTCAAGGTTAAACGAATTCCCCAGGACCCTGAAAGCAGAGAGTGTAGAGTCTTACACAGCACATGCTTACCTCTCTCTTGTTGTGGCTTTTCAGCAGATCTGTTTCTGATCACAAGACAAAGCTCTCTCTCGTATTGCAGAGGAACCCCCACAGGAATGCTGCAGAGACTGCAGTGCTGGTGATGCAGGCTTCCTCAGTAACCCCTCTCCTCCTGGTGCTCTTCCTTCATCTTCCAGAGTGAGGCTCCATGACCTCCGCAGTGATAGAATTGCACTGTCGCTGGCTGCCCATCGGCTAGGGGTGTCTGCAGTCCAGATGGATGACTGGAAGATTGTCAGTGGAGGCGAGGAGGGGCTGGTGTGTGTCTGGGATTACCGCATGAACCAGAAGCTGTGGGAGGTGCACTCCAGGTAAGCTGGCTCCTGGTGTGTGCAGACTGTGGGTGCTGGAGTGGTTCCCAGGCTGCCTGTGCCCTCTCTGCCGCCTTCCTGAAAGCAGCTTTGCAGGAAAGGAGACCAAGGCCTGGAAAGACACCAATCTGGAGACTTGAGCGCCTCTCCATTCCCCACTGTATTGACCCGAGTACTACGGCTCTCAGAGAGCATCTCACTTCTTAGGATGTGGTGAAGTCTTCACAGCTGTTGCACTGGTCCCTGTGAATCCCTTCATCATAATTACCAGGGAAACCAAGAAGCCAGCTTGGGGAGACTGATTTCCAGTGTGCAGGTGGATGGTTGGCACTGGTCCCCCATGTGTGAGACTTGGTGTATCCAAGTGTGGTCTATGTGGCTTGTGCCTCCCTTCATCATGAGGGGCCCAGGGGGAGCATCAGCCAAGGGGAGCTCCTCTCACCTTGAGCAGGAGTGTTGAGAAGAGGATCCTTTCCTGAGCACAGGCCAGGGTCTTCTGAGGCTGAGGCCTACTGGTAAAATGGTTCATGGGAGCCTACCTCAGTTTTGGATTTAGAGGCAACGTAGAGTTCCCACCTAGCCCATATACCTTCAGAGGGGAGACTGCCTGGAGTCCTCTCCAGCTGAGTTCAGGCTCCTCTGTAGCTAGTAGATGTGGTGCTGTGGAGGTGCCCAGCTTGAGATCATGACAGATGCAACTCTCCCACCCCGATGCAAAATCAAGACAGCCCTGCCTTTATTTCAGAGCAAATTTGATGGCTTTGCAAATACCCACAAAAGTAGCAGGGTAAAACTGGTTTCTTTCTTGGCCTGTAAGGTAGTGAATACTTTGCCCACTGGCTTTTATTAGATCAGAACCCCAGTGGTATTACACTGGCTACCCATCCTTAACTTTAATGATGGCATACTATGATGCCACCAGGTGGTGCCAAAACACAGCTCAAACTCTCACACTGGACTCAGCATTTGCCTGAATTTCAAGATAGCCAGTACCTACCGAAAGCTGGTTCTCTGCGCCTCCAGAACTGTGCCAGCCTCTCTGGGCTTCTACAGTGACATGAGCAGGCTGCCCCACACCTTTTAAGCACTCGAGAGGCCCAGGGAAGTGAGGTCCCTCATGATATGAGCCTCTGTGCCTTCACATCCCTGCTCAGCATCCCAGGGCATTTTTACCCCACCCCTGCTGGAGCCTTCTCTGGCCTTCTCCAAAGCGCTAGTCAAGCTGCTCTCTGACTACACATCCTCAGCCTGCCTTCCCTCACCAAGTTCCTCTCCTTTTTACACTTCACCCTAAAGGCCTGGTCTTGCCACAGGCCTCCTTCCTTCCTGGTGGACTCAGCCAGCCCCACGTAGTGTGGTGTGGACCTCCTCTTCACTGCAGAGGTGGGCACCTTACCTTCCTGCTAGTGTGGAGCCTCTGAGGGCAAAACCACCTCCCCCCCCCCCACACTGCAGGAGGTTGCATTCTTTTGTCCCCTAGCTCACAGTATGACCTCAGCAGGTACAGGGGCTGTCAGTTTTGGCCATCACTTCAGGACTGGGCCTCACCCTGACGATAAGAACTCACCCGTGCGGCTTGTCAGATTGCTATGCCGTATTGCAGGTTTGTTTCAAGTTGAATGTCCTTATATCCCAAACACATCAACTTGGTGTTGAAGCAGTCGAATGTGTAAAGGGTGCAGGTGTGTTTGAAAAATGGCACCAGAGATAAAGGCCTTTTCCTGCCTGCTTTGGGAGCTGAGGCTGGGCCCTAGTTCCTTTCCACAGTGGAAAGTATGCCTAGAGGGTTCTGCTGTGCACAGCCGGAGCAGGGTGCACTCTGGCCTTACAGTGCTATTCCTCATTGCTACAGGCACCCTGTGCGCCACGTCTCTTTCAATAGCCACAGCTTGATCACTGCCAACGTACCCTACGAGAAGGTGGTACGCAACTCCGACCTGGACAACTTTTCCTGTCACAGGAGGTCAGTGAGGGCTTGGGCTAGGCTTGTGCACTTCCTGAGAAGTGCCTTAGTGTGGTTTCCTGTTCCACCCCCAACCCTGTGGTCCTCTTGGGGTATCACAGCTATGAGCCCTGCTTTTTGCAGAAATTTGGAACACAGTGGCTGCTGTAGACCACGAGCATGTACTGAGTGTCTGCAGTGTTCTGCATCTGTGGCAGAGCAGGGGCACAATGTCAACTCAGCAGCAAGGCACTCTCTACACTGAGGTCCCATCAGATGCCTCTTCATAAACATTGTCTTCTGGGCCTCCCCGCTTGCCTCAGTCATGAGTTCTGCATCTCTGACATACTGTGGGCTCAGAGCACATACTCTCACAGTGGAGGCGTAGCCTAGATTGTGTGTGACTCTTGCCACAGCTGCCGAGCTGACCATGCTTATCTCTGCTTCCTCTAGACATCGAGGCCTGATCCATGCCTATGAGTTTGCCGTTGACCAGCTGGCCTTTCAGAGCCCTCTTCCTGTCTTCCGCTCCGCCTGTGGCACCGTGGCCGGGTACAGCTATGACCTAGCACTGTCTTTCCCCTATGACAGTGCTTAGGGCCTCACTCACAAAGAAGTGGGAAGGGCCACTTTTACAAATGTTAGAGCTGTAGGAAGCTCTGTAGCACACAGTGGAAGTTTGGGGACAGTGACCTCCCCACCCACCCCCTCCTGAGGTATGCCTGTGGCCACACAGCCTTGCTGGCTCTGCAGCCACCTACAGAGCCTCTCTCCTCCTCCCTCCTAAGGAGATTCACTTATGACTCAGAGTTAACCTTTGCAGTGGCGCCTCCTCCTCAGCCTGTGGCAGCAGTGACACTCCTCCCTCCTTCCCCACGCTAGGGACACAGGGCCTTCACCTCCACTGTCTCCTGTGTGGTGCTAAGGATAGAAGCAAGCGCTCGCCACCAGTCTGATCCCTAGCTCTGAGTAGTCTCCTGACCCCACCCTCACCTGGGTGAGGACTCTTCATTTCACTTGCCGTTCTGTCTAGTACAAGTGCTACAAAGGGAACAGCCATCTTTCTGTAGAGAGGGAAAGGGCCACCCCATAGGGATGAGGGTGGGAGCTCAGTCTCTGAGCCTGGCTGGTGGCATGTCTTCACTCAGCGGCTACAGCTCACCCGCCCACCTTCAGAGTGTCACGGGCAGCTCCACACACAGTAGCCAGGAGACCAGGCAGCTAACAGGCCTATACAGAGACAGAGTCCCTGTCCCAGCAAATACCAGCTCAAAAGGCAGCAGAGTTAACAGGTGGGCCAGGAAACTCCACATTGGGTCTGTGCCTTCGGTGGGAAGAGGCTGACCCCTCTAGGCTGGTGTAATATTGAGAGCAGCCTAGACATCGTAGAAGCAGGGTGCTCACTGGGCCTTGGTGACCTGTTTCCCAGTGCAGGGATGGAACCTGGGGCCTCATGTGTGTGCTAGGCAAGTGCTCTGCCACCAAGCCATACCTCCAACCAATATGTGGTTTTGTGGCATGAAAGAATAAGTCCATTGTCTAGCTGGACAAGAGCACAGAAGCAAGCTTATTCTCCTTGCAGAGCGCCCCAGGAAAAGGACTTTGAACCACCCAGGTGGCAGCTCACCTCTTGCTGGGCTGGTGCCCCCTGCTGGCCTGGTCTTGCTGGGTCTTCACTCAAGCTTTCCCAGTCCAGCAGGTGGGCCACTGGAGAAAGTTCTGTCAGACAAGTTGGCTGTGCAGGTCAGCTCCCTTCCAGGCTGTGCAGCCATGAAAGGCCACTGAAGAGCAGATGCAGAGGTGACTAGAGTGAAGACAGTTTCAACCATCTGTTCTCCCCCCCCCCCTCCAGCTTAGGAAAAGCACCAGTTTCAAGAAGGGGTGCCTAGGGACCTAGTCTTTCACACAGCAGCTCTGTGGGTGTTCTCTGCTGAGAGATCCTCCTCCCCCCAAGAGCAGCAGATCTCCCCCGAGATCTGTCTCCACTGGCTCCTGAGGTTGCTGCCACTGCACCTGCTCACAGGGTGGGGGACAAGTGGTCTCCGTTAGCTCCCTGTGCTGCCTCTAAAGCCAGAAGACACCAGGACACACCCGTGGGAGCCAGAGGTGGCCGCACATCTGCAGCTCACCTTTGTGCCTTAATCGGCCACGTCTACTCTGTTATTAAAGGTTCTGGACTGACTTACGGCCTTGTTGTTTGCTGCTCCTGTAAGGGTGCACAGTGCTGAACCCTGGTCTCTCTTTAAGTCTTCCGTCAGCAGTTGTAGCTCTGGTTTATGGCCCACAGCTGGGAGAACGGGGCACATAGGACAGGACCTGGGGGAAAAGTGTGGTCATCTTTGGCTGGGCTGTTTGTCCATGCAGGCCACAAGCCGTTCCCATCAGCTGAGCAACAGAATGACCAACCTTCCTCAGCAGTGGGGTTTGGGTTCTTCTGGACCAAGCCCTTGGTCCCCACCCTAAGCTCACAGCCCGTCCATGAGAGGGTGGCATGCCCCAGTCCACTTGCTGTATGACACATGGCAGTAGCACATTCGCATGGCGTTGAGAACGGACTCCCCTGGGGAGGGGCTTTCAGATAATTTCCACATGACAGTGGCTCAAACAGGGACACCGCTACCCACGAGCTCTTGCTTGAAGCAGCAGATGGCACAGACCATGGCATTGTGGCCATGCATCCCACACAGCCAGGCCAGATGGTTACCTGGCTACTGCAGCAGGCCCGCAGCGACTTGGCCAGCACTGCCTTGTATGTGGTGGCAGGCTCCCTCCTCACACCAGCCTGTGCTTAGCCTCCGATGCTGCCCACTGCTGTGCACTAGGGAACGTCACCCTAGAAAGGAGAGTAACCGCAGCCTGTGCCCAGCTGAGCCTGAGCTGTGGCAGCTATCCTTGCTAGGGCAAATGCCCTCTCACACCCACTGCAGGGGCCCTTGCAGGCTTGACATCACCGTGTTGCCACCCTGCCCTAGCCAGAGTTCCGAGCCCCCCTATGGCCGTGTTCCTGCACCAAGTGTTGTTTGTCCAGGCATTTGTCTAGCTCATGGTGAAGAGACAAAGGTGCCTCAGATGCCAGTGGGAGTGGCCTGGTTCTGGCCCTGGCTCCCTCAAGGTCACAGCATGCAAGGACAGCCTTTATGGCAGGTGTTTGCCAAACCCTCAAGGTGACTTGCATTTCTGCCTCTCCATCCACCCACTTGGGCCACTTCCAGCACAGTGGAACTTGGCCTCGTCAACTGCAGACTGGTCAGGATGGGATCCAGCGTCAGAACTGAGGGCTTGCCCTCTCCCATTAGCACAGTACACAGGAGTATGAACTAGAGCCTAACAGAGTGGCTTTGTTCAAATCTCGAAGAACCTGCTTTCCAAGGGATCAGAATTGCAGGCTACTCTGATCTTGCTCTGTCCCTTACCCATAATTTATGTGTCACTAGGCTGTAGGTATCCATCAAGCCATTTCTATGAGGTTTGTTATCACACAGCCCTCTGGGAAACCTACCAGATTAAACATTAGCCTTAAACCAACACCAAACTTAATAATAAAAGCAGCTTTATATGTAGAGCACAGTGACTCCCCCTTGTTATTCCAGCACCCAGGAAGCTAAGATGGGGTTGGGAGGGTATATCTATATCTCTAGAAATAAACATTGGTAGCAGAATAATGTAGGGCTAGATCCCACTTTCAACTTGATTGCTGTAGAATATAGAGAGGGCGGCCAGGTGTGGTAGTGCACACCTTTAATTCCAGCACTGGGGGTGGGGGGGGGGGAGCAGAGGCAGGTAGATCTCTGTGAGTTCGAGGTCAGCCTGCTCTACACAGAGAAACCCTGTCTGGAGGTGGGGGAAAAGAATATTGAGAGCACTCCTGACCTCCACCCAGCCGCTGAGGACCTGGCCCTGTTGGCTTTGGTCTGATACACGTCAGCGGCCAGTGTGCCTGATGGAGTGCATGGACTCACCTGTTCTCAAATCTCAGCACCAACCCTGCCTCACGCTGCTGATGGAGGCACCGCATCTGCCTCAGGGGTAGGTGCAGGGTGCTGTTGCTCCAAGGCCAGAAGTCCCATGGAGGACTAAAGAATTAGTCTGCACTTCACGGGAGCAGCTGAGCAGTTCACAGCCTTCCCCTGCCTGCTTGCTGGGGAGTGTGCTGAAGCACTCCAACTGAGTTCTGTAGTGGGAACGGGCCTGGCCTCGCCTGGTCCCAGCCATCGTGAACAAATGAGCCTGCTTCTGGGCCTGGAGGACTGTGCTCCCAGAGAGTTCATCTCATTTTAATTAGCTGTTTGGATTAGCCGTGCCCAGAGCTTCAAAGACATTAGCAGGCTCTCAGCGGGTAGCACAAGTGGGCCCGTTTGATGTGCGTCCATCGCAGCATCGTCCCAGCTAGAACTCCAGGCACCGGCTGAGGGAAGGTGATCCATTATTTATGAAAACATTTTACATTCATGAACTGCCTTTGTTGGGAAAAACACAACTGAGACAAACAGGGAGAGTCTCGGGGCACCCACGCCCAGGAGACACCATCGTGATGGCTGCCCACTCACTGAGCCCCCAGCTCCCCTCACTCACCATGGCGGGAGCACTGGGAAGCTCAGGAACCTTTGGACGCTTCATGCATGATATCTCCATGCTGACCTGCTGGCCGAAACCCAGAAGCCAGGAGGCCCCCAAGTTGTAGGGGGCACCTTGGTGGGGTTCTCCTCAAAGCTGACACGGTTTGCTTGGCTCTGAGCGGGGAGGTGGGAGCCCTGCATCTGCTCCTGCCTGCAGCTTTGTCAGGGCCTCTGCCAGACTGAGGCCTGTATTCGGAAGCACAGCCCTGGCAGTGCCTTCAGACCTCTGTCCTCAGCAGTCCAGAGATGAGTGGGTGCTGATGGGTGGCCCTGTGGTTCCAGCATCCATCACAGACCCATCGGGCCAAGTGCTTACTCAGAACACCTGCGGACACCACCCCCAACCCCTGGGCTCCTCCCTTGCCTCCAGAGTTTGACATAGTAACCAGTCTACCCACACACCCACAGAGGAACATACACTGCACACAGAGCCACCCTACCACATCCTCCAGGCAGTCTCTGCACACCCCTATAATTGATCACATAGGGTTTTGCTTTTTAATTACAAAGCGCTAATTTGAACCTCATCCCAGCAGTCGCCCGGAACTCCCTTATGTTGTCAAGTTACCTTCCCCCGTTTCGTGCACATTAAATATAGAAACACCTGTTGACAAGAAGACCCATCCACCACTTAGAACCACTCCGGCAAGCAGCATGGAAGGGACCCATAGAAGAAGCCACTGAATCTGGAACATCACCATGGAGACAGCCTGCCATCAGCCGTGACAAGCACCCACAGACAGAGAGGAGGCTGCGGGGGTCTCCACCAAGACCAGAACAGTTTGCCCTGTTCCGGCAACAGTGTTGTTTGTTCAGGCATGAGTCACTGTCCCCTGGGCGGCGCTAATGGTGGACACCATTATTTTACCAAATCAGCAGAACTAAGATGCATGTGCCAGGCCAGCAGGGTGGCTTAGGAGGGAAAAGCATTTGCTGAAAGAGCCTGACAGCTTGAGTTTGATCCCAAGAACCCATGCAAAAAAGAGCTGGATACAGGGCTGAAAAGAGTTCGGTTCCCAGCACCCACATTGGGCAGCTCACAGCTACTTGGAACTCCAGCTCCAGGGGGTGTGATGCACTCTTTTGGTTCGGACACACACACAAGCATATACACTTTTTTTTTTTTCAAAGCTGAATGTGTGGCCCACATCTGTAATCCAGGAGCTCTGTGAGATGGGAAGCAGAGACAGGACAGTTGCCAGAAGCCCTCGAGCCAGCTGACCTGGAGTTCACAGCAGACCTTGGGAGAGGCCCTGCCTCCCCATGATGGGAGGCAAGAACTGACACCCAAAAGTTGTCCTCTGACCTCCACACATACATCATGCTCCACACACACACCCATGCTTACACACTAATGATAACAACTGAAAGTGTGTGTGTGCGTGTGCTGGAGAGCTGGCTAGGCGGTTAAGAATGAGAGTTTGGATCTTGTGAGTGGTGTCAGAAAGCGATCCCACCACTGCCAGGCACCCACAGAACAAGCCAGGTGCCCTTATGACAAGCACCCCTAACCCCAAAGGATCTGACACCCCCACCCCGCTAGCCAACATGTACTGCCATGCACACGTGTGTATACACATCAACAACAATAATAGTGCTTGAAGAAAAAAATGTCTATTGCCACACCCACCTACCCATGCATGCCAAGGGCGTGGAAGGGGAAACAGGGCAACGGATGGAGTGAAGATACACCATGACTGCCCCCCCGCCCCCGTGGCCCTTAGGGCCTGAGACTACACAAATGCGACGAAGCACGCTCAGTGCTGAGACTAGAAACTTGAAATGTTAACTAAGCATGCAAACAGCGGCAGGTGCCAGTTACCCAGAGAACCTTCTAGGATCTAGAAAGGCACCTCCCAGTGTCAGAAGAGGGAACAGAGCAGCATGAGGGCAGCAGCTGAGAGACCTGGAGAGCAAACACCAGCTGTGAGGAGACTCTGCCCCATGGTCACACCGTGGCCACGTGTTAGCTCTACCGGCCCCACCCCGCCCCCGCCCACCCTGAAATGAGCAGTGACAGGCAGAGCTGCCCAAAGCTGCTTACCTGTAATAGACATCCATCTTGGTTTCCACTAATGCCTACGTTAGGGGCTGGAGTGTCCTGGGCTCAGAGCTGGAGCTCGTGCTGTCAGGAGAAGCCGTGGCAGCCCCGGCTGCAGGCGCCCTCCAACAGGAGCAGGTGCCAGCATCCAGCCAGCCATGATGGTGCTGAGAAAAGCCTGTTACTTACGTTCCAGGTCTTCTGGAAACCTGCCCAGACAGGCAGACTCCTCCTGGCTTCCCCTGGGTGGAGACCGCAGGTGGATGCCCGATCCTTCAAGGAGGTAACAGATGGTACACTAGGACCAGCAGACAGGGCATGGGGCCTGCCTTCCTCACCAGTCTCTGCCTGCTCCTCAGAATCAGTCTTACCTCACCAAGGACCAAGCTCCTTTAAGGGATGTAAGGGACGGAGGGGATGGCAGGCTCATTAGGAAACCTTTATTGACATCATTAGAGATAAAAACATTGGAGTCCCATAACCCGCACCCAGAGGGAAGGATGAGGGAAGGGCAATGGTTGTTACAGCAGCTTAGGCAAGGGGCTGGGCAAAGGGCCTCTGCCACTCCCAGCTTCCAGCCACCTTCTCCCTTTCGTGGTCAGTGGCAGAGGGCGATAGTCTCCATGTTGAGGAAGCGGATGTGCATCTTGGTCTCGATGTCGATACCCTGCCAGATCTGCAACAGAGGGAGTGGCGTCAGGAAGCCTTCCACCACTGCCAGACACCTGCCTGAGCCAGGTTCCCCCGCCTTCCCACCTGCTGCTTCTGCCAACACTTGCTGATAAGAAGCAAGGTAGGTTTAGAGGCCGAGCTAAGTGAGGAGCAAGTCCTACCCACGCGTCTGTCTCTACTCTGGCTCTGACCTTCAGGTGGTTAGGATGAAATCCTGAATCCAAGCTCCTCTCGTTGGATGGGCTCCTATCTCACTCCCCTGCCTGTCCCCTCCCTGGCTCTGAGAGTCCCACGAAGCGCAGTTCCAGGGTTGCCCCACCCTGCTGCCCACTTTCCAGATTCAGACTGGGCCAGCCTCGTCCACAGAGTACTATGCAGACTATTAGGGGCTGTGACATGGGAGGGCATCTGCTTCAAACTTCTGCTCAGGTAGAGTGACACTGCTGTGGAGACTGTCGGTCTGGGCCAGTAGGGCCTGAACATTGAGGTCATGAGGCCATTGGCCTGCAGGACAAAAACTTGTCCCACACAAGATCACCCTCTCTCCAGTTCCTTGCCAGTTAGCAAGTGCCTGATGATGGAGGAAGGACAGAAGGGCTTAACAGGCAGGTGACTCCTGTCTCCCCTGTGATGTTGGGATGCCACACTGCCAGGCTGTCACTCAGCATCTACAGAGACACCCCCTGGGCTCCCCAGGGTGAGGTAGGCCTTGGAGCCAGGCCTCCCACTCTCCCCTGCACTGTTCCTTCGGGGACACGCCAACAGTCCCACTTCTCCAAGGGCAGCCCCAACTGTAGGGAGTCTGAGATGTTCTCTGAGAAAGATCCTGGATCCATGATGAATTCACCCAAGTTCTGTGAGAGGGCACAGTCCTTGGGAGCGCCAGAAGGGACAAAGTGGGGAGCTGGCTTCTGCAGAGCCCTGGGGAAAGCAGCAGGGTTGGTTTGTCACAGCAGCAGGAGTCTTACTCTAGGCCAGGCCAGCTGAGAAGATGCCCCTGCCTCGGCCTCCTGGGTGCTAACACTGCACCTGTGTGCCACCATGCTGCACTCAAGGCAGCTGCCCCCGGTGTCCGCGTCACCTCCCTGGATGTTCAGATCCCAGTGCAAGCCCGAGCAGATTCACACACTAGCAGTGCTGGGCCTCCCCTGCCACACACCCTATCTGGCCTTGGTTGTGGGCCTCTGGCAGGAGACAAGTGACCTCTGTCTCCCCTAAGAGGCTGGGGCTGAGCTGCCTGCCTGCAGTCGGCCTCCCTTGGGTGAGCAGAGGGCGGACTTAGAGAAGAGTGGCCCACTCTGGCCCTGCTAGCCAAACCCTATGGTCTTCAGGCTCCCTCCCTGCACAGGCCTTGGCGGAGCCTGTGTGTTGGGAAGCTGGACTGGGAGTTCCTAGGTCCTCCTGTGTCCTGATAGCCCTGCCCACCTCCATATCCAGATGGCCTTGGAGACATGATTTTAGCCTTTTCTTCTTCCTGCTTCCAGCTAACCTTCCAGGTAACCATCACAGCAGCCAGGAGCCAGCCTTAGCACCCAGTCCTGGAATGTGTTTGTCACAGTGAAAGCTGTCCACCAGACTGGCTGCAGATGCCATCACAGAATGCCATCACAGGAGGGGGCACAGGAGAGTGGGTGGCCACTTACAGCACCCAGCAGGACACTCTAGGGAGGCAGAACTCAGGCACATGTCACCGGCTCCAGCCTGCTTGCAGAATGCTGGTGTTTGTCCAGGTGTGGAAAGTTTTTAGAGTCTCTCAGAATCCCTGCTGTACTGTGGAAAGGGACTGCTCCCAGGAAAGGGTGCTGGTGTCCCAAGAGAGACTGAATTCTCCCATCTATCTGCTAAAGTCGCAGACCACACAGCAACACTACCCTTTCCACAAAGCCAAACACGGCACTTCACGTTCCTAGCAAGGCCTACCTATAGAACAGCCCTGGTGGGCGCCTGGGATCTGCCAACAGCCGCAGCCGCACAAGAGCCCCCTGCCCAGGCCTTCCCATCATTTCCCCCTGCCACCTACCTTCAGGAAGTCCTCAAAAGTGATCCCCTCATACACCTGGTCCGGCTCCTGAGGACAAGATTGTGGACAGAATGAGCTGCCAGAGTCTCCCAGGTTCTTCTGAGACAGGCCACCTCCTCCCGGCATCCAGAATACAGAGGCAGCATTTTTGAGGTAGGGTTAGAAAAGGGGGAGTCATTTGTCTCTAGCCAAGGCCAGTCTTCTTGGAACTCCAACAGAGGCTGAGGCCATATCCCACCAAGCTCTCCCAGGAGGGTCAGAAAAAAACGGGGGGTGGGAGGGGCCCCGGCATGGGTTTTCCTTCCCAATACAGCCTACCTCACTCTGACCTTAGAATGCCAGCCACCAAGATACATCCTGCCAGCCTGGGTCCTGCCTCAGCTCCTTGAGCCGATAACAGAACTATTCTGGGCTAATCTATGCTCACAGCCCACTGGAGTAAAGGGGAAGGGCCTGGAGTACCCTCTATGACCACCCTTGTGCCCATGAGTCACCATGATAACCAGGGAGTGGGGAACAGAGGGTGGCTTCAGCCAGGGGACTAGCATGCTTGACAAAGCAAGTCTCCAGTGGTGGAGGGGCGGAAGGCATGATACCGGGGCTCAGTACACACACTGAAGAAGTCCTCAAAACACTTCCCCCAGCAGCCCCCTGTGACAGTGAACATTAGTGCAGGGCGCCAAAGGTCCTTGCTGGGTACTCGGGGTCCCCTGCACTGCCCTGGCCCGTCCTTCACGGCTATCAAGGAGCTAGCCTCTTCTCAGTGTGGAAAGGCGCTGAAATGTACACAGAGCCAAGAACAGGAACCCCACAGAGAGTAAGTGCCTGCAGCTCCCAAGCTTGTAGAAGTGTCTCCAGCCCCACCTGTGTCTCTCTCTGCTGAGGGGAAAGGAGGCCATGTCTAACCAAGGCCGTCTGATGGAACTGCGATTGGAGTCTGGGGCTAGGCTGGAGCAGCATGCATAGGGCACTGGGTTCAAAACCCAGACACCCAAAATGCAAGCGACCCAATACAACAGAACAGCCACACACACATCCACTGGCACTGAGGAAAACCTCCCAAAGGTGGTTCCCTCAAGGCGCTGGAGTGGGCATGGAGAGGGAGTGACCTTTCACCCTCTCCTGGTTGCTCCTGGGGACAAGAGTCAATGCCCTTTTAAGGTTTCTTTGTTTCTTAAAGCATTTGATAAAAGCCCCCAGTTTTCCACTGGCCTGGGCCTGCCCTGTCCCCAAGGGCCATTACTCACTGCTCCTCCCCCTCCAGGGCACCAGGCTCCCAGGCTGAGTGAGGGGAACTAATTATAGACTCCCACTGTGGGGAGCAGAGCAGGAGGGTAGTGCTGGCAAGGACAGAAGGCCTCCTGGGGAGGCCAGGATGAAGCCTCGCCCAGCGGCCCCACCCTCTACCTGCCAAGATTCCCTGCACAGACAAGGCCGAAAGATAGATGGTACTTAGAGTCCCCGCCTGAGTCAGTAAGTGGCTCTGGAAGAACATCAAAGTGGAAATAGTGGGTGGCTCTCTGGTGACTGGCATGGTCAAAAGCATCAGCCATCGGAAGCCAGTGGCTGCCCTGACCCACAGCTCAGCCTCAGAGTGGGGTGTGTTGAACTGGCTGATATACGGCCTGTGCTCCATAGGTAGACACACACGCCAGACTCCCTAGTGCCTCTGTCCCTGCCACACTGGGGATCTGCGCTGGGGACGCCTCCACCTCCCAGGCAGAGTGGATTTTATACAAATCAGCAGGCACCAGCTGCCAACAATTTTACTACAGCAAATTAAGAAAAGTCACCAATTGAAAGTGGAGTGGGATGGGGAGTCATTTAGAGAAGGAGAGTGTAATTAAACCAAATGGGTGTTTGGCTCTGACACAGTTACAAGGGGAGCTCCATTCTCCACTGGGTCAGGGCCCTTCCCCAGGGTGGTTTGCATGTTTTACCAGGGCCCAGTTGCCTCTCTGAGAGAAGCACAGATGGATACAAGCCAGGAGGTCTGCTCTGCCACCACAGCCTCTGCAGAGCGAGGACCTGATCCTCAGTGACAGGCCTAGAGGGCAGGGTCTGGCATGGAGCTGCCTCCACTCTGAAGCTGTTGGCAATACAGGTGCAGAGAGGCCAGAGCTTTGCTGGAAGCTCCCTGCCCACAGACGTGGCCACCTACCCACCCTAGTCATTGGCTCCATCCCCAACCATGCAAGAGAGACCCCACACAGGAAGGATCACAAGCTCTGCAGACTCTTTAGTGCTGAGCCTCAGTTTCCCCACCAGTAGAATGAGGCTGAAACCATGAAACGGTGTACACACAGGACCGAGCCTCTATTCTGCAGCCTTCGCTCAGTCCCTCTGCTGCCCCCCAACACCAACGGTTTTTACAAACGAAAGGTGGGGTCCCGGCCTGAGAACATTTCTCTCAGTGAGGATGCTGCATGTGTGGACCACTGTTACCAGCACTGCCCCTCGGGGCTGAGGGAGGCCACAGCGGTACCACCTAAGCTCCAATTTACTGCATCATGAAGCTCTACAGACCCGCAGTCTCCCGAGAGTGGAAAGAGCTTGTGCTGGGTTCTGACCTCCCAAGAAGCAGACTCCAGCCACAGGAAAGGCATTGTGAGCACGTGCACGTGCATGCTTTTGTCTTTGTGTCTGTCTGTCTGTCGGTGGGCTCCTGCTCCCTACCCTTCCTACCCTCTACCCCAAGGGGCACTCACCATCTGCCCCACACACACGCTGGCAGCCTCCATCATGGCTCCGTCTGCAATGGAGCGAGCTGACTCCTTCTCAATGTGAGGGTTTCCGGAGAGCAGCTCCTCCACTACCTGCCAGTGGGGCGGACACTTGGTGACCTTGGGAACTCCAGGCTGGCCCGCAAGGGGGGAGGGGCGGGACCAAGGGAGCACACTTTACATTTCTGTATTCTTCCAGGGTGATGCGGCCATCACTGTCGGAGTCATACATATGGAACAGAACTGCAGGCGGCAGAGGAGGTAGGAAGGAGCCAGTTAGTGAAGCCAGGAGTGGGGCCCGGACCCCTGCTCCCCTGGACTCCCATTCTGAAGCTATACCAACTGAACACTAGACGTTGTGGCAAGATCTGGATGCCAAAGCTTTAGAACAGCTGGGCACAGGGCCTGGGACCTAACTGGTCTCCCTAGTGGGATGCCTTGAGCAAGAGACTTCTCTAGGCCTCAGTTTCCCATTGGGAGTTGGAGGCAGCACCTGCCACCCCAGCACACTCCAGACAAATGTGACAGGACTGGACATCTCATGAGCACAAAGCTTATCAGGAATTATCTTAAAACATCAAGTCCCAAGTCCCACTTCCCACATCCTGATTGCTGGCTGGTCCTAGGTAGAGCCTGAGGGTGGCCAAGAACTTAGCAGGGCCTGGCTGCCTTCCTCAGCCTTGGCGGTGGCCCCACAGACATGAGGGGCCAGAGTGGCCACTCCCTGTCACTCCAGCACTCTGCTCTGGCATCTGTCAAGAACCAAACACCCAGAACCAGGCAGAGAACTTCCTGGCCACAATGTCCTAGCTGAACCTGTGAGAGCCAGGCTGCCGAGGTCTACTTCATAAATGGGTTGCCAAGGCCCATACGTGTTAAGCCGGGGATCCTGAACCAGTTCAGACCTGTGCTACTCTGATTTCATGACTCTCACCCCAGGCCTCACAGCAAACAAACACTGGGAGCGCGGGTACCTGCTGAGTGGAGGAGGCCCAGGGGACACCCAGCTTCTCCCAGAGCTGCAGCGCTAAACATAGCCAAACACCCGGAGTTGAGGTAAAGACCACGGTGGCGAAAGGAGACATGACTTGGACAACTGCCCACAGCACACCATGGGGCAGCAAGCAGGTGCAGGACTCAGGGGCTCCCCAGGCCCAGATGCAAGGTTCTGTCTGCACCTGAGTCCTCAGCCCACAGCTACCCATACTCAGTCAACATGCCATTCCCCGGGCTCAAGGCCACACAGCTGAGTGGAGGGCCTCAGGGGAAACCCAGGTCTTTTAACACTACATCACCTCTTAGTCCCTGGCCCCCTATCCTGCAAGCCCGATGCTGCTGGGCATTTTAAGAGGCTCCCACAAAAGTGCAGCTGCAGAGAGACCACTCCACACTGCCATTCAGGGACTGAAGGAGAGACGATGTCCCTCCTACAAATGGCCTCGCCTCCTGCTCTTGGGGATCCTGGCACTCTGAGAACTTGGGACCTGGCACGCACATTTCAGCTTCTCCTTCCGGTGCAGCTCCACCTGCTCCTCGCCCAGGGTGGTGTCGATGGGCCGGAAGTAGGACATGATGGTCAGGAAGTCCTCAAAGTTGATTTCATCGGCCAGGCCGCTGGCTCCCTTGCGCAGGTTCCTAAGGAGGCAGCATGGGAAGGGAGGACCTCAGTCCATAAAGACATCTCTTGAGATGGCTCTGACCTCTAGATGTGCAGAGGACAGTGGCGTGTACATGCACACATGACCGCACAAGTATGTACACACACACAAACGTAAGCTCATGACAACATGTTCCCAAGAACCTGCACCAGAGCCGCCTGCCACAACTCCTCTTACTCCCATCAAATGACAGACCATCATCCAATCGGATCTCTAGAGTCCTACCAGCTAGGGCTGGAGCCATGCCTCCAGCATGTGCCCTTAGCCATGGCCACAGGTGGGAGGGGAAACTGAGTCTGAACTTCCTGGCCCACAAAAGCCATGAGAAGTCAATGCTGAGCTTGGGGCTGGGGTCATATCTGTGTGGGAGAGTGCCTGCCTGGCACACCCGAGGCTCTGGCTCCATCCCAGAATCACGGGTAAAATGTAAAATGCAAGGCTGGGAGATAGCTCAATAAGGGAAGTGCCTGTCCAAGGATTTGGTGCCCCATAATCCCAGTTCTGGGGAGGTGGAGGTCAGAGGATCCCTGGAGCGCCCTTGGCTGGCCAGCTGGGCCAAGTTGGCAAGCTCCAGGCCAGTGAGAGGTCCTTCCTCAACAGAGAAGGTTGTCCTCTGGCCTCCACGAGCACGTAAACATACATGTACACCTGCATACATGGGAACATGTGCAAATGTAAAGAAGCAAAACCAGGGAGCCCTGCTAAGTTTGGAGTCGTTTGTTACAGGGCCAGCAATGGCGGACACAGAAGTGGAGGGGGCCCAGGAGAGCTGTCCAAAGCCAGCCCACCCAGGCTCTGCGTTTAATACTGAAAGCAGTAGCCCCCATCAGCCAGCCCCCATCAGCCTGCCCCCGGGAGGAAGCACACACCTGTTGTCGAAGAAGGCACGGATGATTTTGGATCGGATCGGGTTGAGCTCCAGGTCAGGGACATTGTTGAAGTTCTCCTTGCTGTATTCCAGGATGCACGGGAGAGACAGTCAGAAGAGAACAATCCTCAGTGCCACCCTGCGCAGGCGGTGTGGTGTCACCTCCCCAACAGCCCTACCCTCTCCCCAGGCCTCTTGCCTGCACACTGGATGAGGATGGGAGGACTGAGGGAGCCTGACACTTGGAGGAACCTGTGAGGTGGGTGGGACACTCACAGAGTGTCAGCAGAGACAAGATCTGCAGCTCCGGGCAGTCATAAGGCCTGCAGGGGCCGCTGTGAGCTCCAGCAATAGGATACTGGCCTGAAGGACCTTCAGGAATTAGACTCTCTGGGCATTTCATGACCTCGCACCTCCCAGCACGTGCCCAAGAGAAGCAAGCACAGATAGTCTCTACAGGAACAAGGCCCATAGGAACCAGGGAAGGGCCAACAGAATGTCTGCTCCCAGATAAGTCGATAGCTGAACTTCAGACTGCCCACACAGAGGAATATTACACAGCCAGGAAAAGAACTGGAGTGCTGATACCCACTTTAGGAGGATGAACCCTAAGATTGACACTGTTAGAAAGGCATTGACATGAATAGGTCACATGATTTCATTTAAACAATGTGTCTAGAAAAGGCTGAGCCACTGAGGTTTCAAAAAGCAGGAGAGGGGGTCCAGAGCTGGGGGAGCCAGGTGGCACCTTAGGGGTGGGGGCGGGCTTCTCTTGGCCATGGACACAGCCACATGTCTCAACCGCCTGTCCTCATAGGAGGGCCACAGCCTCTATCCAGGCTGCCTGTGCCTGTTCTATGGCAATGACCTTCTGAGGGATCTAGGGCACAGCCCTGTACTCCAGGGGGCAAGAACGAATGCTCAGAGTGGAGAGGGCTTGGCTGATTAAAACAACAACAAAACAAAACAAAAAACCTCAGGACAAAAAAAAAAAAAAACCTCAGGACATTAGGGGAGGGATGTGACACCGGAATAGACTGAGGCTGTTTGAGTTGGGAGCTTCACCTCACAAGAGAGGCCTCGGGCTCCAGACACAAGCAGAAGCAGGTGACCAGATCTCTCTTGTTCTCACCACTCCCGGGGCAGCTTCCTGACCCTCTCTCATGGCTGGACTGGTGGCATCTAGCCAGACAAGAGCTGATAACTAGACACAGCCAGCTTTCACATTCACCAGAGCCCGGTGTGGAGGAAGAACACATTGCAGACAGTTGTCCAGGTGTGATAGGTGTCACTATATGACCAAACAGTAGATTTGGGCAGGGTGGGTGTAAAAGGAACAGGGGGGAGGGGGTGCTGGTGAGATGACCCAGAGGGTAAAGGCTCTTGCTGTGTAAGCCTGGTGACCTGAGATCAATTCCCAGCAGGAAAGCACCAACTCCACACAGTTGTGTGAACCCACAGTAACACCTTTAAGAAGGAATCCAGTCAAGTAGGTGCTATGGTTCAATCAGTAGTCCTGGGTACTTGAGAGCTGAAGCCTGGGCCCTGCAGCCAGCCTAGGGAGCACAGAGATACCCTGTCTCAAAGACAGCAAAAAATCCAACAGCATGGAGGCACATGCCTGGGATCCTAGCCTGAGGAGGCTGAGGCAACAGGATCACAAGTTCAAAGCCATTCCCGGCTCACGGACTCTATCTGATGAGAACCTAACCAAAAAAGGGAACAAAGCAAGGACACACACTGCCACTGAGCCTCAAGAACATCAAGCTCAGGATGGAAGTCAGCACACGTGGAGTCTGGTTTCCAGGGTGATGGGGGTAGGTGACAAGGAAAGGGTTTCTTTCTGGATGCTTAAAGTGACAGTACAGCTTAAAATGGCTGGGAATGATCTCTCCCCAAAACTACTAAAAACTTTGCCTTTGGTTTCGTTAAAACAGTAAGAACCACGGCACAGTCCATTTCCACAGAGGAAGTTTCCACACAGGATAGCGACTGCCTTTGCAACTGGCAACCAAGAGAGAAACAATAGAGGAAGGCTTAGGGCCTGACACCCAAGGTCTCTGCCCCACCCCACACAGTTTTGCTAGCCTCCAACAACCACAGAAGGAAGCAAGAGAAACCAGACCCTGGATGAGGGAGTCAAGGTTACCATGGAGACCATCAGATCAGTAGAGGCCCTCCCCTTGGTGGCCTCTGCTCAGATGACAGTCACAGGGACTGTGTGAGCAGTGAGGCCTGCAGCAGGTACCTCACCTGAGGGAGCCCTGCCCGGTGCTCCTGTGACACAGAGAAGGCCAGTCACCTGCCAGGCTCAACCAGCTGTGGCAGGTCACATGGGAACCCAGGTAGAGCAAAACCACGCTCATACCTCTGGCGTTGCCCTGCCCACTTTCCTCACTCCACCTCCGCAGATACCTGGAGACCCACACTCCTATCCCCCTCCTACCCCACGCCATCTCCAGCCTCAGATGTCCCACTTGTAAGATGGGGATTGTGTGACTACCTGGATCGCTGAGGCAGGAGGATGGTTAGTTGGAAGCCAGCCTATACAGCTTAGCAAGTCCCTGTCTCAAAAGTAGAAAAAGGACTGAAGGTAAGGTTCAGGTACAAAGCACTTGCTGGAGGCCCCCAAAAAGGGAGGGGAAGGGAGAGAGGAGGAAGGAGAGCAGGGTGGGGCTACTGCCCACGTGTGATGTAGCGGCCTTGGTCTGCAAGCAGTCACTCACAAGAGGTAGATCTGGCCATCTGGTAACCAGAGGCCCCTGTCCTGACAAAGAGAAGGCAAGTCTTGGGGCCAGCGCTGGGCCAGGCTCAGTGGAACAGCCTCGGGGTCTCTGTCTCCACCCTAGAGCCCTGCATGATAGCAGGTTACTGCCCTTGAATGGAGTTGAGCCACTTACCGTCAGTCCAGCACGGCCGCCCTAGTGGCCAGTGAAGAGAAGGGGCCCATAAAGCCCCAAGAGACACCCACCTTCCCTGCCTTCTCCAGGGCAGCTTGAAGCCCCGGGGATGCCCAACCCCCACTTCTACAGTGACCTTCCTGTGCCAGGTCACTGGCTGTAAGGCTCAATTCACCCTCACACCCACAAGTGGGGGCAGTGATGGGTCCATTTTCATAGACGAGAGCATGGGGGTCCAGAGAGGCCCAGCCAGTAAGTTGTGCTCACGCAGCTGGCTAGCAGAAGCGCTCTGGCTCCAGGGAGCACACCACCACTACCCGGCCCCTTCCAGGTTGTACCTTTTTGCTTTGGAAAGACTTAGAGCTCTGTGGGCACCCACTCCTGCCCAGCTCCAGCCTGAGCCCCTTGGGGACTCACAAAGAAGGTAGGACAAGCACCCAGCCACAGAGGACACAGAGAACCAGGAAAACCACTGAGGCCAGGGCCAGCCTCTTCTGTAAGCCCAGTGTAGTAGGCCAGTTTCCGGTGGCTTCTGAGTCCCAGCTCAGCTGCCAAGGTCACTCATAGGCCGAAGAGCAGAGCCCACAGTGGGCCCCACATCCTGCCCTCAGGCTCTCTGGTTTCTGAGGGCTTCCGTATCCTGAGGGGCCATGGTCCTTCCTTTTCATGTGCATGGCTCTGCCAAGTCCTCCCAGCACTCACTGCTGGGCAATGGGGAAACTTCACTGCTGGGCAAAGGGGAAACTGAGGCCTCGCTGGGACTCTTCAGGGAATGGACCATGTCTCACAGGGTAAATATCTCCCCCGGCAATGCTGGACACAGGACTGGAGGATGGAGGGCAGGAGGCAGGGGGAGGTGTGACAGAGGACTGGAGAGGACTGTGAGGAGTGATGGCTGAGTAAGGTGGGTAGGACAGTCACCCCAGACTCTGGCTAGACTTGTGCACTTTTTGATGGACCAAGCAAGAGAGTCAGACAGGCAGACACCACAGGGCAGCTCTGGGAGCAGGCAGGCAGTCAACAGGGCAGGCCCCATTCACTATTACTAAAGAGCAAATGGGAGGGCTGAGGGCTCTCACCTTGGGCCTCCAATTGGATGTGTGGCTAGAATGTGCCATGGCATTTGGGCTGAGGCCTCGGTCAGGCACACAAGCAGGCAGGAAGCATGCAGGAAGCATTTCAAGCCACGGCTTCCTCTAGGGAAGTTGGGGGTGAGCGCCTCTCCCCTGAGAACCCAACCTGAGGCAACTCTCCCTGCTACAGCCCCAAGGAGCCCGGCCGGTCACGCTGCTCAGGGTACACAATGAGTTGGCTTAGACACTATAGCCTTCTTGGAGTGTCCCTGGGCACCTTCTGTGTGAGCGCACACATGGGAGGAGTCCACCGACCATAAATATTAGCCACGTCAATAGCAAGGGTGCTACCCACAGCACGGGGTCCCTCAGCACCCACTCACACCTTCCTCAGACCTCTTCCTCAGACCCAAAACTTGAGCCCCTCCCCCACAGGACTTAGGACTTCTACACCCTCCAAGCAGGTCAACCAGGCCCGTTCCACTCTCAGGTGGGGTGCAATAACTTGGCCCATTTGCTGAATGCCTGGGAGCCGCCTGTGCGCATCTGTGGGCCTGCTGCTCAGATTCAAGCCCAAAGAATCTGCTTTATACAGGCCAGCTCAGAGAGAGAGAGGCCCAAAGCCTCGCAGCCAACAGCTTGAGGGTCAAGGGGTTTGTCCACCAGGTTCACCCCTGCACCTCGAAAGTCTGAAGGGATAGAATTAGACTCAAAGCCTCTCTCCAGGTAAGGCTGAGTCTGACCAAAGAGCCTGCTCCTTCACAATGCTAGGCAAGGCAAATGTTTTGTTACTGGCCATGACAGTTGGCTCAGAATGAGGCACCTGAGCCTTTGAGAGCCAGTGAGAAGCCAGTTAACTTCACAGGGTGGCCAGGCTTTTCCTCTGGCCTCAAAGGGCAGGACAGCAGCTGCTCTTCACATTGTGTCTTGGATAACCTGTGTGGCAAGTTGAGATCAGAGGCCACAGAGCCATCAGACCATAGGGGAAACCTTCCGGGCGACACTCTGAGTCAACAATGTGCCTTTGTATAGCAGGCAAGAGAACGTGAGCACACACATAGTTCCTTCAAAGGGCAGAACGAAGGCCATCACTGGAGGAGGCTGCCTCCCTGTGGCCCGTGCTTCCGAGTTTCAGTGACAACACCTTGAGACCCCACGTGTATTTTAGGCCACTGTTATCTGCTAGAAAGTTTGTGACCCTCACTTTGCAGGGTCTGGTGGCTCCCACCTGTCATTCCAGCTGCTCAGCAGGTAGCAGGATGACAAGTGAGGCCAAGGCTAGCCTGGGCAACTTAGTGTGAAACATCTAAGGGAAAGAAGGAAACACAAAGGGAGCTGGGGCTGTAGGCCAGGGTAAGGTGCAGGGCCATGTTCATCCCCAGCACCAAAAGATAAACAAGTGACGTCACAGTGGAAAATGTCAAGTTCCCCATCAGAAAGTGGACACCGACACCCCCCTCATCTTGTGCAAGGCTGGAATGACCCAGAGGAAGTAAAGTCTAGAGATAGGCCCATCAGGGTGACACCAGCGCCCTGGCACACAGCTCACTTAGCTGGTTCTCACACTCCCAGTACCAGGGAGGATCCAGCAGGTGCTCAGGGTATGGGAGACTTTAGGACAAGTCCAGATCACACATGACATAAAGAAGTTGAGCAGGGCCAGGGGTCTATCTGTCCCTCCAACCCCCGCTTCCTTGGCTTGCTCTGTAAGTACCTGATTCTGTAGAAACAGAAAGGACCCCTTCCTCCTTCCACATCTTGTCTTAGAAAGAGTCAGGAGAATTTAAACAACAGCTTTGCTTCAGAAACTGGGACAGCCCTTGGACCCAGCCCAGAGCCACGTGCACCCACGGTAAGAGAGAGCAGGATAACGGACAGAAAATAACCACAAGCCCCGCTGGGCTGCGCATCTTACCGAATGGTGGGCTGGTCCCCACTCAGCTGCTTGAACCTCCGGTGCAGTTGCTCTATTTGGTCCGAGGAGACTGAGAAGAAGGGGGAAGGGAAAATGGGAGAGAGGAGAGAGAGGAAAAGGGAGAGAGAAACAGATCATTGACATTGAACTTGAGGCAGTCGAAGGCCACGGTAGCCTTGTGCCCTCCTCCTCACTTGGCCACTGCCTTCCCTCTTGTGACTCTGCGGCATCTCTTTTGACCGAATTAAACCACAACTGAGGGACACAGCAAAGCCTCCCTTTCTGCCTGCTGGGGCAGTTCTGGGTTCATCTTCTCCCTTACAAAGACCGTGGCCATTATGAATGACAGCTGCTGGTGGAGGCCAGGGACCAGCCAGTCTCCCAGGCTTTGTCCTCCCACCACCCATGAAAGGAGACCTTGTACCTGACTGTTTGCCCACCCCACCTCCGCCATCCTGTCCTGGATCTGTCTGTGCAGCTAGACTTGGCTGGGAGCAGCCAGTTAGGGAGAGCAGAAAGAGAAGGGAGAAGTTGGGCCTGGAAGGATGTCCCCGAGACACACCGTGCCCCTGCTACAGAGAGCATGGCAGTGAGTGACCAAAGCGGGGGTCCACATGGCCATCTCTGGCTTTCCTTTTGCTGGCTACCTCTCAGAAGGCTGAAGACCACAGCACTAGCAACCCTATCCAAAGCATCTCTCCTGACATGGGACAACACGTATGTACCCAGGTGCCTGACACTCAGTGCATTCAAGTCCTCTTGGGGACCATGTCCAGTTCAGGCCAAACTGGGTTGGGGACCTGCCAAACCCACCTGTAATCACCTCATCCACACACCTCCACACACAGTCCTACCTCTCATTCTGAGACCTAACGGGCCTGTTAACAGGCCTCCTGCTGTCTTGGAGTCTTCCTAAGCTCAAGACTCGGTTTATTCAGGAATCCACCACACTGAGTTCTCAAGCGTCCCTGGCAGCCGCTGCTCACCAGGGAAGACTAGGGGAGGCTGCCAGCCCGGGCGAGGCACCTCTCCAGGCGTTAGCTCATCGATCCCACACAGCCCGGGCAGGCAGGGCTGCATCCCCACGCCGCATGTGCAGTCACGGATGACCGCAAGCTGAGTGACATCCAGGACAGTATCTACCTTTCTAGAGAAAATGATGGCCATGTACGTCACCGGCAAGACAGCAAGCAAGGTGACTGGGCTCCCACGGCCAGTGTGCACCTAACAGAAATGAGAAGGGCCACGGGATGTGTGTGGCCTTGTGGCTGTGCTGTGTGAATCACTGTAAATTGGAAGCCACCAATACACCTAGCAGCGGCAGAACCACCAAGGTGCAATAGGGGGATGCAGCCAACTGATGGGATTCTATACGGTATGGAAACTAGGTATCGTATGTAACACAGAACCAAAGAAGCCAGACGTGAAAAGGCGTGTGCTTCATGATGCCACCTGGGCGGAGCTCATACTCTGGAGGCCCTGGCCTTCAGGGTTAGGAGTCAGGGCAATGGCTGCCCCAGGGGACAGAGTAATGTGAACGGAGTGTAAGGGGGCGCTTAGGGAGCAGAGAATATTCTCTGTCTTGATGCTGACACAAGTGACACAGGGGTCTCCCTGAAAGGATGCAGAGCTTCATGCTTATGGGTGACATGCTTTTTGTCGTTGTTGTTTTGACAGGGTCTCATGTAGCCCAGGCTAGCCTTAAGCTTACTACGTAGCAAAAGGTGAACTTGAACTCCTGATCCCCTTGCCTCCATTTCCTGAGCACGGAGATTACAAGTATGTGTTACCACACCCAAATTATTAGGAGTTGGGGCGGAGCCTAGTGCTCTATACTCCCCACCCAGGGGCGCAGCGCTTTCTGATCTCCACAATTTACCAAAAAAAAAAAAAAAAAAAAAAAAAAAACTTTATCTGCCAACTTGAGAACTTTGTGGGGAGGAGTGGGCCCTCCCCACAAAAAGAATCCCATAGGTGAAATGAGAATCCCATAGGTGCAGAAAGTGTGTGTGCAACCCCGCTGCGGCCCACCACCCTCACAGAAACGCTTGGGAAGGACCAAAAGTGCCTCTGATTTGGGACTGTTTTCAAAATGTCTCTCTGTGCCCGGGCTGCGCCTGAACTGAGCCCAAGCAATCCTCCTGCCTCGGCTTCCCGAGAAGACGCAACTGTAAGTCCTGTTGGATCTTCAGCAATTTCTCCCGCCCGCCTAATATGAAAGTGTGGAACTGTACAGCGGAACTGGGTCACACCCCAATCACGAGAACACCCAGGATTATTCTGTCTTGCATGACATCTATCCCAGACAATGGTGCACACACCCTCCAGCCAGCAACCCAACCCCAGGCTAGCCTTGAACTCTCTATGTAGTTGAGGATAACCCCTCAGCCTCCACCCAAGTGCTGGGACTACAAACACGCACGCCCGGACCTGTCTTAGACATTGCTGGGATTGAACCCACGCCTCCATGCATGCCAAGCAAGCGCTCTACCAACTAAACCACAGCCCTTGAAAAACTATTTTGAGTATCTAGAGTCAATATTTAATGTTCCCAGCCTGTCATCAAGGGGCAGATCCAACCAGCCAAAATGGCACTTCCTATGAGGTTCGTGTTGAATGCACAATGGCCACGATGGCAGGACAGAGCTCGCCAGACTGGGACTTGAGGCTTGCCTCTAGCTCACCCATGTTTTCCGGTTTCTCTCCGTACAGTGCGTGGGCTTCAGCCATAAAAACATTTCCTGGCACATGGCACAGTCCATATGGGACAGCAGACGCTCACAAAAGCATTAATAAGTCATCCTTGGCTTGGTGCTCTGGTCCAGGCACATGTGGTCTTATAAAGGACACACTTCCCCTTCCCTTTTTCCTTTTTCTCCCTTTTGGAGACAGGCTCTCATGAGGCCCAGGCTAGCCTCCAACTCATTTATTTAGTCAAAGATGACGACCTTGACCTCTGACCTTCACCTGAGAACAGGGAATACAGTCATGTGCTGCCAAGCCCAGCTTAAGCCATGCTGGGGACTGAAGCCAGGGTCTCATGCATGCTAGGGAAATGTTCTGCTAACTCAGTTATAGCCCTAGCTCTTCAGTCTACATTATTCACCTGAGACAGGACCTTACTGATAACTCACTATGTAGACCAGGCTGGCCCCAAACTCATAGAGATCCACCTGCCTGCCTTTGCCTTCCCCAGTGCTGGGATCAAAGGTGTGGCCACCATGCCCATATACTTAAGATAAGTGGTAAACTGTGCTTCCTGGCTTTCTAATAACATCGGACCCACATCCAGATGTGATAAATGTTAGGAATATATTTTCTTTAGTTCACAATATCTAAAATACTACCATGTCAACATGTAACCCACATAAAAGAATAACCAGGCCTTAGGAGGCTATGGGAATTCTGCACCTCACATTTCACTGGGAAGAAAGACTGATGGGAAAGACAAGGTGTGAGGGAATGTCTTATGGGGGTTCCCTGCAGCATGAGACGGGAGGCATGGGAGGGCATAGTGGCAGAGGACCCAGGACTGGTGGGGAAGGTGAACACAGGGGGGAAGGGGGCAGGGTGAATTTTGCTGGCTTTATCCACTGGGACAAGTTTTAGAGTCTTCACCTTCAGGGAACAGGACTCCAAGCCAGGAACCAAGACCTGCCACATGGCAAGACTGAGAGTAGACCCAGAGAGGGCCAGGACCTGTGGGAGCCAGCTGGTAGAGCAAACCTGGGGTGAAGCAGTGGGGCACTGGGACGGTCTGCTCTCCTCAGGGGCTCCCTAAGCCTCCCTGCCTCCTGCTATCCCCAGCAGCAGCCTGAATAGAGAGGCTCAAAGCCACCAGGCACAACCAGGTAAGATCTGAGGACTTCCTTTCCAGAGCTCTGTGGCCCATCATCCCCATGAGACGGGGCTAGAGCTCTTTCCCACTACACAGAGGATCAGCCCAGGCACAGGCCAGAGCCTCGGAGAGGCAGCTTTGAGCCCCTTCTTCAGCAGGCATCGGTCTGCCTCCTCCTCTGAGAAAACAATAACACCTCCCACCTCCTAGGAGGTGGCTTCCATGGTGACTTGCCTTCTCAGTCACAAATGCTATTCACAGCTCTCCAAGGTGGCAACAGCCCTGTCTCCTGTGGATGACTGATTGTATGGAAAGCAAAATCCACAGCCCAAAATCCTGCTCAGCAGCAACAGAGGCGCCTTTGGGACCCTCACTGGTATACAGGGTGGTGGCATCAGTGTGCATGGTCCCAAGGGCCACCTGGCCCACGTGTCTATATGTCAAGCATCCAACTCCATGGAAATGGAGTCGACTCCATGGAAATGAAACATGGACTCTTGCTCAGCAAGGGCCAGGAGGATAAAGATGGATAACAGGTGGACACAGTGTTTAACTGGGTGATGGAATGTTCTGGAAATGAAGATGGTGATTTAGAACACTACCTGCAGCGAACCCACCAGAGTTACTTCACAGTAGTTAAGATGGTCAGTGAGTGAGGGTGTCCATGTGTGTGTGTATTCCTGTGGGTGCATGTGGAGGGTGAAAGGTCAACACCGACATCTTCCTCCGCCACTCTCTCCCTTGTGTTCTGAGCCAGGGTCTCGGCCACTCTCTGCCTCCCCAGCACTGGAATTAGCTACATGTGACTATTTTTTATGTAGGTGCCAGGGATCAAACCCTGCTCCTCATGATCACAGGGAACTCTTCCTAAACTGATAAATTTTCTGTTATATGAACTTGGGTCCCACTTGAAACAAAACAAAACAAAAATCAGTGTTTATTCTGCAGTGTTTAGCTCTGCATCTGGGTAGAGAAATAAGAGCCATCAGCCTGGCTGTGACTGACTTGCTGGGCCCAGAGCAACCCAGGTCTTCAGGGCTTTTCTGCTGGCTTTTCTGCTCCACAGGGAGGCCACCTGCGGCTCCAGACACAGCAGTGACTAATGCAGGGATGGGAATGGGGGGGGGGGGCAGGCCGGAGATGGAGGCTGGGCTTCCAGAGCTTCGCAGGGGATCTGTGCCAGCTGCCCTCTCTCGTGAGCGCCCCTCCTCCACTGGCTAGCACCCTGGCAG